AGCTCACCTCCTCACAACTCTGGGGAATACCTCCTCTTCAAGCCTCCCAAGCAAATCCCACGCCCTCATTCTCCTTATCATTCCTATGATTGTGATTTGGGGAGGTTGGTCATTCTGTTAGTGCCTTTATCCAGAGCCCAGAATTCCTTCTGATAAAATCTACTTTGTGCTCTGCACATTTCCTGGGAAAAAGGAAGGGGCAGAGACAAAGCTAATTGTTTCTCATGTTATGAAGAGAGAAACTGAGGCCCAAAAAGGGCCTTGTCCAGGTCCATACATCCTGCTTGATTCAAAGGGTCCTGGTCAGGAAGACGACTCACTGGCCAGCTGTCGCCTTCTGTCAGAGAAGAAGGAATGGTCCAGGCAGCTGACAGCCACTCCCTTGGGCATGCAACGTGCCCAAGGCCTGTCCGCTTGGGGAGAGCCGGGAGGCACTGTGGGTTTGAACTGAGCCCCAGTGCAGAGAGAGAAGGAGGGGAAGCAGCTCTTTTTGAAGAGGACAAAGGAGAGAAGATGAGAGGACTGCCAGCCTAGCGGGGTCAGGAACTCGCTCACCCAACATAGGGAGGGAGGGAAGGAGAGAGCCAGACCCTTGGAAAACCTAGCCCTCCTATCTTCCCCTTGAACACTGGTGTCTAGCACTTAGTGACTTAGCAGGTCTGGAGTAGAGCTCAGGAATCTGAATCTTTACTAAGTGCCTCCAGGTGATTCAATGCAGGTGCTCCAGTGATCTTTTGACTTGAGGCAAGATAGCAGAGTTCAAGACCTCAAGATCTGGAGTTAGACTATCTGAGTTTGAACCCTGGCTCCATTGCTAGATTTGTGACCTCAGACAAACGGCATAATCTCTCTGTGCCTCAGTTTGCTCATCTTTAAAATAAGGATGCTTATAATAGTAGCTTTCTCATAAGGAAGCTGCAAAGATTCAATGACATGATTTATGTAGAGCACAAAGCACATATGTGGCACATGCTAATTTCTCAGCAAGCATTAACCACTATTATTTGTTCCAACTCCTCATTCCCATCCCCACCCCCACCAGAGGAGGAAATAATGATAGTGGATTAACATAGGGACTTGTCACCCAGGATTGTTTGGGATGTGGCTGATCCAAAGCCATTCTCCCCCCAAACCCATCACTCTTCTGATGTCCTTGCTGTGGACTGAGCTTCTTCCAATAAACTACCCTGCCTTTCTCATCTTCCTTCCTTCCTCAGTGCCCCTCTCAGATGGCAGACCACCCTCCTCCACCCCATCCAAAGTGACTTTGGCTTAGGATGTGTCCTGGAAAGTGAAAACATACAGCAAGTCAGGCCCCCGGATTCCTGAAGAAGATCACAGAATTTGGTGCTCTGGGACTTATGAGTAAGCTTTGGAGGCAGAAGGGAACTGAAACTCCTGCTCACCCAGGTTCTAACCATGGAAACATGCTGTCTTTCTGGGAAATGGAGACATCCTGTGCCAAAGCATGGTTGAAGCCCAGGATGAGAATGTGGGCAAAGGAAGCTCTGTTCTGCATAAATTCTTGCAGGCACTTCCAAGTGCAAATTCTTGGCATCTCCAAGTGACCACAGAGGTGAAGTGGGACAGGTGAGGATCGGATGAAATAACCTAACCAAGAACACAAAAGGAAAACAGGATGTCAACGTCCAAACACAAGAGTGGTGCTAATTTTCCAGGTCCAGGGGCCGTGGCTAACGTGGGATGCAGAGAAAGCCAGGGTCAGCTCTCTGAGTGGCTCAATCCTCCCAGTCACTCAGCCCTTCAGGGAAGCACTGCTTCCCGCCTTCCCCTCTCCTCCCAGTGCAACTGAAATGGACACCCTCTGGCATGTGCTGGAGAGAGGGATGGAGAAATTCTGCCTGGAGAGAGAATTGGCAAGTCTGGGATTGACTCCAGCTTGGCCAACAGTGTCCTTTGCCAACTGGTGCTCCTCAGAGCTCCCTGCCCTAGATAGATACAGAGTTGTATCTAGCCTTTCAAAATCCACCTACTGATGTGGAGAAAGGGGAACCCTCTTACACTGTTGGTGGGAATGCAAACTGTTGCAACTACTCTGGAAAATAGTATGGAGGTTCCTCAAAAAGTTAAAAATAAAAATATCCTATGATCCAGCAATTGCACTACTAGGTATTTACCCAAAGAATACAAAAATACTCAGTTAAAGGGATCCAGGCACCCCAGTATTTACAGCAACATTATCCACAATAGCCAAATTATGGAAACAGCCCAAGTGTCCATTGATTGATGAATGGATAAAGAAGATGATATATATATATGATATAAATGAGATATATATTATATATGTATATATATATAATGGAATAATACTCAGCCATAAAGAAAAATTATGCTAAGCAAAATAACTCAGAGAAAGACAAATACCGTATGGTTTCATTCATGTGGAATTTAAGAAACAAAATGAACAAGCAAAGGGGGAAAAAGAGAGAGGCAAACCAAGAAACAGACTTTTAACTATAGAGAACAAACTGATGGTCACCAGAGGGGAGGTGGGAGGGGGGATGGGTGAAATAAGTGATGGGGATTAAGAAGTGCACTTGTTGTGATGAGCTCCGGGTGTTGTACGGAAGTGTTGAGTCACTATATTGTACACCTGCAACTAATATTACACTGTATGTTAACTAACTGGAATTTAAATAAAAACCTAAAATAAAAAATCCTCCTATTGGTCAAGGACCGAATATACCTTCCGGCAACACACACACACACACACCACACACACACACACACACACACAGGTTGCTAGATAAAATAGAGGCCACCAAGTTAAACCTGAATTTCAGCTTAACGGTGAATAATTTTTTAGTATAAGTATGTCCCAAATGTTGCATTGGCACATACTTAATACTAAAAAATTTTTTGTCGTTAATCCGGTACTCAAATTTAACAGGTCATCCTGTATTTTTATTTGCTAAAACTAGCAACGCTACCCCACTCGCCTTCAGAATCTCCCTCCTCTAAGCTCACCCGCAGGACTCCGCTTGAACGTGTAGCCGTGTCACAGTTCTGTCCTGAGCTGAGAACCTTCGTTGCAGTCTGCCCCGCTAGACTGAAAGCTCTCTGAGGGGAAGGCCCAGACCTTGGCCACCATCTCTGGGCCTCCGTCCCAGGCAAGGACACTCCTTAAGGATGTGCACCAGGGCACCGGCGGAGAAGGGGCGTAGATGGGCTCATAAATCCCTTACAACTCTAAGCCCACCGCAGGGGCCCTGGCACAGGGATGGAGAAGGCCGCTGATTATTCACTGGCCTGCGCAGAGGTGCGCCTGTTTCTAATTGGTTCGCCCGGGAGGAGTACCCCCTTTTCATTGGTTGGCTGGGAGGTGGGCGGGGCCTACCGGCAATTTGTTCTCCCACAGCTGCCTTTTAAGTCAGTGCACCGGAGTGTTGCCTTTCCAAAAATTCCTCCGCCAGAGTGGCACCTTTTTTGCAGTAACACAAAAGCCTTCTGTGTGCTACTGAGTCTCTAAGCCTTAGGGTAAGAACACTGCAATACATTTGGTTAGCACTTTAGACATCCCAAATTACTTTACGCGTATCAACTCATGGAATCCCCGCAAGAGTCCCCCGGAGGTCGGTATCACTGTGCCATTTACATTTCACAGATTAGCACAGATTAGACCAGGAGACAGCATCCTGCTCGCAGCGACCAAGGCAGATAATGAGAACAGTTGACTTTTGCTCAGTGCGAGTTTAGCGAAGGCTCTCACGTAAATCGTTTCACTCCACCTTTGCTACGGACTGTGTGGAATACACAAAGCCAAGCACTTTACCCTCAGTTTCTCTTTTAATCTCTATGCAACTCTGGGAACTAAATATCATTTGCTCTCATTTTATTGAGGAGGAACCTGACGCTCGAAGTCGTTAAATCCTTTGCCAAAAGTCACAAAGCGGCAGCCTACCACTTATTAATTGCGTACTGCACGATGTCAGGTACAGTGCTCAGTTACTTAGAGACATTATTCTCTCATTAAATGCTCCCTACAGCCACATGATATTAGTATTCTTTTTAAAAAAAAAAAAGATTTTATTTATTTATTTGACAGAGAGAGACACAGCGAGAGAGGGAACACAAGCAGGGAGAGTGGGAGAGGGAGAAGCAGGCTTCCCGCGGAGCAGAGAGCCCGATGCGGGGCTCGATCCCCGGACCCTAGGATCATGACCTGAGCCGAAGGCAGACGCTTAACGACTGAGCCACCCAGGCGCCCCGATATTAGTATTCTTATTATCGACATTTACTGGTGAGAAAAATATGTTCAGAGAGGGTGAGTGACTTGCTTAAGACCGCACAGCCGGCAAGTAATGGAGGCAGGATTCACACGGCTAGCAAAGGAGCAGATCTGGAACCCAAGCCCCAGTCTTCTGACCCCAGCCCAGGGCTCCTTCTCTCATAGCCCAGGGCCTCGCCCCCTGCCAGCCTGGCTGAAATAATGTGACCCTCAGGCAGGCCAGGACCCTCCTTGACCGAAGTCTAAAGTAGCTGCAATCTCCAGGAGACCCTTCTTCCCCCGCCCTCCCCGGAGAGATCCGGATCAACTGGAGGTGGTTGGCGGAGAGAACGGGTGGGCAGGGCGGCGGCGGGCACCCGGCCAGGCTGTGCAGCCTGCGGAAGAGGCTCGGGGACTGCGGCGCGTTCCGGCGGCGGAGCGGAGTGGGTGGGGCCGGAGTGCCCGGCCCCCGCCCCCCCCGCCCCTCCTCCCTCCCTTCCTCCCTCGCCTTCCCCGTCCAGCGGCCGACGACCCGCGGGCAGGCACTGCCGGGCTGCACTACCTCGGGCCGGCTCCCGGCGAAGCTCCCAGAGGGGCGGCCCTGCGCCCGGAGCCGGGGCACCCGCGAGCTCCCCCGGCCCTTCCCGCTCCGCGGAGGGGCGGCGCAGAGCTGGAGCATCCGCGGGGCCCAGGGCGCCGCTGACTGCCTCCGGCAGCCCGGCGCGCAGGGGCTCCCCACGCGCCCGCCCCCGGTGGCGGGAGCGGCGGCGAGATGGCGGCGCGTGTCGGCCTCCTGCTGCGCGCCCTGCCGCTGCTGCTGTGGGGCGGCCTGGACGCCCAGCTCTCCGAGCGCCGAGGCCAGGAGCTGCGCAGGGAGGCGGAGGTAAAGGATGCGTGCCGGGCGGAGTGGGGGCCGCGTGCTAGAGACCCTCCAGAACTTTGCAGTCAGGCCAGCCAGCCGTCTCATCTGAGCCGGCGATCTGAGTTACCCTCTCCCCGTCCGCACACAAAGAGCCTCGGGAGCATTCTCCCCCGTGCCAGTGCTGGACCACACAGGCACACGGATTTGCATTGATTTTCCCGGACGGGGCGGGAGGGGGGTGGGAGGAGGGAGCGACAAGATGGGACAGGCGGGCCACAGCTGACAGAGAGGTAGCCCCTGCACCCCAGTTGGGCGCAGACCTACTGTTCCTCACCGCTTAGGCTGCGAAGACTTGGCAGTTCATTCATCCGATGCCCCGAGCCTTCCCAGAGGCTGCGGAGCCCCCTAGATTGGTGAGGTGGAGAGGATACCATAGACTGCCCCGGACACAGGAGACAGCACTGGGCTGGTGCTGCCACTGACCAGCTTGAGCAAGGCAGCGTCCAAGCTCGGGACTAGTTTCCTAACCTGTAAAATGGGTAAGAGTACTATAGTCTCAAGAACTGCTTCTATGGAGCTTTGGAACAGTGCTTCAGGACTGAACTTGAGAAAGGAGGCAGGGAGGTGGAGGGTCTTGGTTCGATTCCCCTCCTCGGGACTCACCTGCTTGCTGTAGTTTGCACAAGGTGAGCGCTTTGGAGGCAGGGGTGGGGATCCACTTGGGGTATCTATTTTCCAGATAAAGGTGACTGTAATAATACGTATCACTTCTTTCTTCCCCCAAAGAAGCATCTCTGTGTTCTTATCTATTCTCAAGATTAGGACTGGAGTCTCCACTATTTTAAGGAGTCCTGAATTCCTGAGCCCAGTGCTCGGCCCTGAGACTCTTGCTCCCTAAGTGTTTCATTCCTGCCCTAAAACTGCCAGTCCAGAACTTCTCAGTACCCTCCCATTCCCCTTCCCTAGAAGAGGCATGCTGAATCTAAGAAACCTCCAGAATGAAGAAGCCCCCACTGAAGGGCTCTTCCTTCCAGCAGCCAGCTCCCACCACTATTCTGGAATATTTGGAAATGCCCGTGTTTCAACAATGGGGGCCACACTCTCCCCTTCCAAGCACTGGTCTCTTGTTTTGTGCTCTCTGCTTTTGCACATTTGGGAATCACTCTGTTTCACTGAATTTAGAATCTTACAACATCAAGTGCATGGTCCTCACAGTCCCAGGAGAAGGCTTCCGTCTACCAAGCCAAGTCCTATTAAGAGTTCCGCCCCACCTCCCCCCAAGTCCGGGTCCCAGGCAATCCTTGGCAGGAGAACAGAGGCAATATCTCTGCCGCCCATGCCTGTGGTGGCCCCAGATGGAGAGAATTTTATCTTGGGGTGTGCTTGGGAAACATAATACTAAGCAGATTGAGTCTCTTGCAGTCTATTGAACATAATTGGGGGAAGGGGATTTTTAGCTCTGAGAACAAGAAATATTTTAAAAGTATTAAAAACTCTGGAAATGTGTATGTGTCTCTATACGCCTATGCATGTACATATGTATGAATATATATGCAAATCGGGGGTGTTACTATGTCTATATGTGCTTCTGTAAATGGTCAATTGCATGAGCTTCAGTGTCAGACAGACGTGTGTGCAAACCATAAGTGAATCATTTAATCTCTCTGAACCTTGGTTTTCTTCTCCGTACAATGGAGGTTAATAATGCCTATTTCATAAGACTGTGTGGTTTCATTGAGATAATGTATGTAAAATGCTCAGCACAGTGCCTAGTACATAGAAGACAATCTATAAGAGGAAGCTGCTCTCAATATTCTTGTTATTATTATCTTTATCATTATTTTAGAGAACAGAGCTTCAGATTAAAGTCCTGGCTTGGTCGGGGCACCTGGGTGGCTCAGTCAATTAAGCTTCTGACTTCCGCTCAGGTCATGATCTCGGGATCTTGGAATTGAGCCAGGCTCAGTGGGGAGTCTGCTTGTCTCTGTGCCCCTCTCCCCGGGGGCTCATGCTCACTCTCTCTCAAACAAATAAATAAATAAAAATCTGTAAAAAATAAAAGAAATAAAGTACTGGCTCAGTGACTAGCTCTCCTAGAACAATAACACAGGACAAAATATGTAAGGCAACTATTTTCAGCATTGGACAACAGGCAACACAGAGCTATCATTCCTAAGAGATGGTGTTGCAGTTACTATGGCAACATTATAAATTACCCCAGAACTTAGTGAAGTAAAACAAACATGTATTATGTTCATAGATACTGTGGGTCAGAATTTCAAACAGGGCGCATGAGGGCAGCTTGTCTCTGCTCTACAATGTCCGGGGATGGAATCATTTAAAAGCTCACCTATCTGGCTGTCAGCTGGGAGCCCCCATTCTCTCCTGTGGGCCTTTCCACATGGTTTCTCCAGGTGGACTAGTTTGGGCCCAAACATGGTGGTTGGGTCTCCGGGATGAGGATTCCAAAAGAGAGCAATAGGGTGAGAGCGCGGGCAAGCAGAAGCCATATCCTCTTTATAACTGAGATGAGGAGGTTTTGTAGCATCACTTCTGCCGTACCCCATTGCCTGGAGCAGTCACAAACTCCAGGTCAAGGGGAGGGAACACAGACCCCAGAGTTGGTGGCAGGAGCGTTGAAGTCACTGTAAGAAGAGCATGTGAATGGGAGGTATTATTGTGGTCATTTGGGGAAATACAACCATCCACAGAAGGGAACCACACAAAGTGAGCCCCGTGATCACCCCGGCTCTTTGCTCAGGTCTAATTCCCTGACTGGGGCGCAGAGAGCTAGACCCTAAGCAAAGCACAGCACTCCCGCAGAGCTCGTGGGCAAAGTTCAGAGTTCAGGACAGAGAAGGAAAGAAATCATAAAAACAAGCTGTGTGATCTTGAGCTAGTCCCCTCACTGCAGCAGGAGGACTTCCTCCTCTATAAGTAAGGGAGCCAAGCTTCTTAAATGACTCTCTTCGTGCTAACATTCTTTGGCTTTGGTGTGTTTGTGTGCCGGCGCCTGTGTGCGTGCGTACGTTTCATCTGCCTGTGTGTCCATGTCTGTCTGTCTGCATGTGTCTGTGTTCCCAGGTCTCTTGTGTGTATCCCTGTGCCCTGTGTGCATGCCTGTGTGTGTCCCTTGCATGCATACAAAATAATAAATTTGAGCATTTTCCAAAGTGGGCTTTGCAGGGGAAGAGACTGACCGCTTACAAAGCTGCATGATGAACAAGTTCATTGTTGCCCACTTGGGAAAACTAGGGCTGCTCATGACACCAGTGAGTAGGAAGGGCCTCCACTCCTGAGTTGCAAGATTGAGAGTTAATGAAAGACATCATCACCTTGGCCCCCCTCCCATTCGCAATCAGGCCCTATCTTGTATTTGGGTGACATGGACTGTCCCAAGGGATCTACCTACTGTGCTTCCCCTGGACCTTCTTTAAACACCCAGGTGGTGTGTCCAGGACCTACCTTCCATTCAGTGGTCTACGCAGATCTGCACCGCTGCTCCCAGTGTGCAAGTACAAGGAGCTGGCCAGTTAGTCTCTCCAGGGCTATGTTGCAGCGTCTGTGGAGTATCCACCCATAGATGCAGTGTCTGTTTCTCATACCCCAGAGCCATCCATTTTAGTTTTTGTGAGTCAGAAACCCAGAAGCCTGGGTGTGAAAGCCGTTCCCAAGAGCTGAGTACAGTGACTCATGGGTACAAGGTGAATAGAAGTGCAGAAGGGGCTCTGGGGGGTCCCAGAGGGACCATGAGCTGGTGGAAAAGCAGTTGTCAAATCAGTTTGAAAACTAAGGGATCTAGCAAAAGCTGGATAGTGGAAACAGGAATACAGTAGGGAGACAGGTGGACAACTCTCCCTAAATCTGGCCTTGGTTAGGGCATTATTTTGTGCCCTAAATTTAGCCCTGCAAGCGTAGTGAGGACCATGGGTCCATATGGTACGATTGTTTGGCATTAGAAAAAGTACAAGAGGGGTCTGGACGGAGACTGACCAGCTGATCTTTTCCAACTTCCTTAAGGACAAAAAATAAAAGGAGGGGGGATTACAGCAAGAAGCATCTAGGCTGCACCCAGACAGAACTTTGTGAATATGAGACTAGGAACAAGGGAAAGGAGGAGAAGATAAAGGGAGTCAGACAGAGGGAAGGGGAGGCATTTTTCCCCAGTGAAGGGAAAGGGTCCTAGCTGGTCCCACTGCCCTGGGGCTTGCAGTAGAACCCAGGAGCCAGAGAGCAAAAGGAACATGCTTGAGTCCTGTTAAATACCTGTGGCTTGTCAGATGACCTGTTTGGGGTGTGAAGAGAGATGTGAGCCCAGCCTCTACTGAAAGCCAGAGTCCACCACCTAAGCAGCTTCTTTCCTCTGCTCTGGCCCTGGACCTGCTTACAAAGGAGACAGAAGGAATCCAGCTAGAAACATCCCCAGTTTTACCTTTTTCTCATTTGAGAATGATCTCCCCAGTAGAGAGAGCAGGCTGGCCCCTGTGCCTTCAGTTTAAAGCCTCTGAGTCACTTGTTTGAATGTAAAATAAGACATCCTGGGATAGGTGTCAGGAAATTTGAACTCAAGTACTGGTTTTGTTGCTCACTTAGGATCCTTTAGCAAGACACTGCTTGCTCTCCTGAGACCTAACTTTCCTCATCTCTAACATGGAATTAGCAACACCCGTCCTGCCTAAGTTCTTGCAAGGCCATCGTGAAGTTCAGAGGTGCCACACTCTTAAAAGCTCTATACTAGTCAAGGACTCGCTGTGTTCCTGATTACCAGAAGCATATTTTTATATATAGAACATGCCAAGGCAGAACACCAACTATCATCCCTTGCATCTTGACTTGGCTAATAGCGCTCAAGATGTATTGAATGACAAAGACAATCACATAGAGTCACTATGGAAAGATTAAAATCATAATGAAATGTAATATGAGATGGAATAAGCCATAGGTAAAGCAACATGGTTTTTGCGTGATCTTGCCATTTTGCAATTGAAAAATTCTTGGTCTCAGGGCGCCTGGGTGCCTCA